GTCACGCGTTTTAGTAATGCGGTGCGGCGGTACGTCGCGGCGACTTGTCGCGGCAGTGCATTACGACGGCGTGACGCGGCGGGGCATTGCAGCGACGTCACGCGTTGTAGCAGTGCGTTGCGGCGACGCGTTACGACGGAACGACACATTGTGACGGTGTGTCGCGGCAACGTCGCGGCGACGAGTTGCGACAGTGCATCGCGGCGCGATGATGCATTGCAATAGTGCGTTGTGATGTCGAGACGAATTGCGACGGTGAGTCACGGCAACGAGTTGCGGAGCTGCGACGCGTTGCGGCTTGGAGATGCATTATGATGGTGCGTCGGGGTGACGCATTGTAGTGCAGCAACGTGTTGTGTCAGTGTGTCACGGCAGAGTGCTGGCGAAGTATCGCAGTGCGCGATGCGTTGGATGTCCAATGTCATGAAAGAATGTAGGGGTGAAGTCCTCAGCTGATACATGATTTCTCTGAAGAAAATCATTTTGGGCAGAGGTGAAGAGTTGCAGTGCTGAGTTGCGGCGCAGAGTTGCGGTGCCGAGCTACGGCGCATAATTGTGGTGCCGAACTACGGTGCAGAGTTGCAGCGCAAAGTTGCGGTGCAGAGTTGCGGTGCCAAGTTGCGATGCAGAGTTGCAACAAAGAGTAAAGTCGTCACCATCCTGTGTAGTAGGCAAGCAACGAGATCTTATTTCTCATTGCGGTGTATTTCAGAGGTGATGAAAAAAAATTATAGTTTTCTCACAGTGCTTTGAGGGAATGATTTTCATGCTTATGTGGTGACAATATCTGGAACTCCCTCAAGATCATCAAAAGTACTGAAATTTTGGGGAGGCGATGCTTTATTATAGCTCTTATACAAGTATATGTTGATATTTGTAGCCTTTTTAATCATCTGATGTAACATTTTGTAGATAATAATGTTTTTTTTTGTTTCTTCCATGGTTGTTGTGGCTTCTTAATTGTGCAAAATTCTTCTAAGGCTTGTAGCCTTCTGAGGTTTTCCAGTGAAGACCCTCTTGAGCTCGTCTTCTAGCTGCATGGTAGCTTCTTATCGGGTCTTGCCTTCCGGTATCGACTTCTAGGAGCATGGTTGAAAGGAATCCATTGAGGATGTAAGACCATTTCTGAGTTGTATAACCAGAGATGCTCGACGGTATTAACCCGTAACAATGTCATATGAAATCCATTGAGGATGGTTGACCTATCCTAGGTTGTTGGTTGAAGCTTTTGCTTGAAGACCGTAATATGTTATGAAAGAGGTCGAAGGAAATCTACCAAGAATTTTTGACATATCTGAGGCTGTAATGGAAGAGGTCAAATCAAGTCCCCATGGGATCGATTAAGCCTAAGGTGTCAGAGATGTTCTGCATTTCTCGAGATTAGGGCGTAAATTGTAATGGACCGTATATTTTCTTGGAAATATGGTTGCAGTCATACTAAAAAAAAATGTTTGACAACTTATTAGTTGCTTGCTTTCGAATCCTTTTTCCCCTCAGCGTGGACGTTTTCCACGTGAGCTTGTAAAACAACCCATTTATCAAGCCATGAAGATATCAGCTTTTTGATCTAATTGAAGAAGACCCCATTACGATGAGTAGGCGCAGAGGAAGTGTTATTTGCGGTGAAGACTGCCCCCGAGTACAGTAGTGACTTTTGTGAACTTGTAATCTGAATGAAATGTGAGATGACTTCCTCACAACAGTAGTGCCCTGGACATTAACATGAACGACCTTTCGAGACTGCAGTGAAGGTTTCCCCCCAGTCTTTCGAGACTGTAGTGAAGGTTGCACCCAACATTGAAAAATACATCGGAGAAGATCTTAATGATGTGAAGGAGGTTCCTTCATCAGTTGGATGGAGTACATCATTGGGAAAAGAAGCAGGGGCTCGGTGTCTTAGAGTTCAAGACACTGCCGAACGGGACTTCGTTTCCCACAGACAACGCCAAACTGATGCGTGCCAGAAAATTCGCGGTGATAGAGTAACAAACTATTGTCTTAGCATTGTACAAAAGTTCAACACACACACACAGATGAAAGAGAAACAAACAGTGATGACTCCAGAAGTTTTTACGTGAAAAACCCGTAAAGGAACAAACCACGGGGCCTGGCCTAGTTGCGAAAATCCACTATTGATTGATGATTACAAAAATCCCTTATCCCTCAGACGGGAAATGGTAATTATATTTTCCAGATTACACTAATGACTGACAACGTCCGGTTGGTGGTGATCGATGACGGTTGGCGGAGGTTGACGACGATCGGCGGTGGTCTTCGGCGGTCAGCGATGGTCGACTGCGATCGGCGGTGGTCGACGATGGAGGTCGGCAGTGGTCGACGATGATCAGCGGTGATGCTGAACTGCAGCTTCTCCTCAAGGTCTCAGGCTCTCTCTCCAGACTTCCACCCCTCTCATGAGAGGAATGTGACTCTATTTATAGTATTCTGGGTGCAATTAACGCAGAAATATGAATAATTTTGATCGGACGATCTGGAGAGTTTCCCTCGATCATACGACGTTCAATAGGCATTTGAGTGCCTTAATGTGTCAGAATTGAGTGATCTTGGGCTCGTTGGATTTGACTTGTCGAGCCGTTCGATTCGAGTATAAACTTGACATATTCGACAACGGTTTGACCATCCAAATGTGTCCGAAAATCATCTAAGTGTGGTTCAATGACTTGATCTGGATTTGATTTGACTTGGATTGGGCTAGTTTTCATATTATTAGGTCTATCTCATCAAGTCGGTCAGTTTGACTATAAATTTGTTGAAATTGGAGCTATGAATAACTTTTTATCAAGATTTGAATATTTCCTGATTTGAATATTTCCTGCTTTCCTGCTTAAAATATTGTCTCGAGATTCATGTCATGACTCGAGATTTGTGTCGGATGATGAAAATTTATTGGTGGCGTATCAAGAATAATCATTTTTTCAGGAGATTTCTTCGCACGCTTCCTAATACTAAATTACCTTCATATTTTACATGTCCTAACTAACCTCCATAACAAAGATATATTCCAAGCCTTGGTGAAAAACAAGCTTGCCAACTAGATGTCAATGACAGAAGCATCTTCAAACAGTTCCTATTTCTTCAAGGTTTTCAAAGTATTCATAGTAGGAGAGATTATTCCATCAGGACACCGGACGAAAATTTACGTCCGGAGTCCAGTGGGCACTTGCCATGTGGCAAGTGGGACCCACTATAATACACTGGTTTGGTGTGTTTTATAGAGGGGTGGGGCCCACTTTCTATGTGGCACGTGCCCACTGGACTCCGGATGCAAATTTTGCGTCAGGTGTTCTGATGGAATAATTTTTCCCAAAGGAGAGCCAGTAAAGTTACAACGAAGAATTATCATTCCTTCAAGTAGATTAATAGTATATTTTTTCAAGAGACATTTTTTCAGGTTCATTGCCAGTTCCAATGAACTTATATTCATAAAGCCTATTCGTCGCTTTGATCATCATTGCCACCAGCACTAACATTGTGCCCATATCAAAACCACACCTTTTAAAATCAATGGTTCGTAAATTTAATAGTGAGAAATGTGATTAATTTATTTGCTTGGGAAGTTTTACATAAACACCACACAATTCTTATGTATTTACATATCTAACACAAAAAATTTGATATTTACACTTATAAAACACCCTAGTGTCATATACTTATGCATGAAAAGGAGTTTTTCATTTTTAATAAGATAGTTATGGTTATATTTTTTATGTGAAGTTATTTCAGTGGTATGCATGAATTATATGTAAATAGATAAGAATTGTATAGTATGCATGTAAATGCCCCTATTTGCTAATGCTTACTAATTGTCCCTATCCCACAATCTAATAAGGAATCCAAATTTCCAATTAATTTCCATAATCATCATACTTTTCAAAATTAAATCCAAAATGCCTAACCCATTCTTCCAGCTATGTTGAGCAGGAACAGACAAAAAGTTGATTCTTGTAAATTTGAAAATCAACCCGAACAAAAACATAATTTACATTGAGGAAAGAACAAAGATAGGGAAAAATGGCATCATTACCCATTGCAAGTTATTGTTTTGCCCAGAAGCTCGAAATATAGATGCCTGTGGATATAACTGAAACAGAAATGATTTCATGTCTCCATAAAAATCACTATGATCACTATGCCTCCATAAAAATCACTATGCCTCTCCCAAGGCTGATTCCAGAAATGATTTCATGTCTCCATAAAAATCACTATGCCTCTCCCAAGGCTGGGAAGCATATCCTCCATATATGTGCCCTTCCGTATCCTTAATAACCAAAACTGTGGGCCCCCCTACACTGGTACAAATTAAAAGGTTAAGAAATTACAAAAGAGTTTATATAAAATACTATTTTGGAAGATTTAGATACATGCCACTCAATTCCTGTTTATTTACATATATCTAACACCTAAACTTCAATATATATATAAAGTGTTATTTTTAATCTGATATGAAAAATTTGGGCAGTGTATGTAGAAGGTAAAGTGTAGGTGTTAGATATTTAAATACATAGAAATTGGGTGGTATGTATGTAACTGCTCACAAGTTTTTGTTGGAAGACCAATTCAACATTAAGTGATCAGTGTATTATGTTCCCACAAAATCTAAAATGGCAGTGGTGCTTCAATAGCTAGCTTAAACATATTAAAACGAAAATGATTTACGTAAATTATAGAGAAAAAAAATGGAAATGGCATACATATTTCCAGGCAAATCAAAGGATTGCTAATGCAGGCTTGTTTGGAATAATTTCTGTCTATTATTTTTTTAATTTTATTTTAAAAATATATTTGTTTAGTGCATTTTTTGCATGTTTATACATTTTCTTTCCCAAAAACAATTATCTTATGTTTAAAAACACTTAAAACATTTAAAAATTATTTTAAGTGTTTTTAAAAATAATTAATCATGTTATAATATATCAAATATGTTTTATTTCAAGTAAAGTACAATATGAATATATTCTTATAAACACATCCCATAAAAATAAAAAAATAAAAAAAATGATCCCAAACAGCTCTTAAATTTCAAAGATGATATCATAATGTACTGATCAATCAAATGTTTTAATTACTTGTATCTGAGAATGAGTTATAATAGCTGGCTGATGATATCCAATAATATGAATATGCTTCATTTCCTTCATACATTTGAAAATATGCCATTCTAACATTTATGACATAAATAAGAAAAATATTCTGAATTACATACAAAACAAGCAATTGCCGCATTTTAAGAATATGAAGATCCCAACAACAATGTGCTATCATTTTCCGAGAGAAGCCATGCTGTGTAAGTGCTTTTTTTGTTCTTTTCTCAACAATAATGTCCTCTAATTTGCAAATATCAACATGCAGCAAGAGAAAAAAAATGAAATATTCTGAATAAAAAAACTCACGAAACGCTGCCCATAAATGTTGAAAAACTGAACCCGTTGATTGCGCTGTGATAAACAAGCTTCCACTGCACTGCTTCTGATTGAGAAAGAGCTCCAGCAATATGCCAGGCAAATTCTTTCTGCAGAGTCAGGGATTCAGGACTCAGATTTTCTGGATGAAGCAGATGTGGAACTTGAAAGCCTGGCGTAGCTAATGAAAAAAATAAAGAAGAAAAATTGAAGATGGCGAGACATGGAAGGAGTCATATAAAATGAGGACAGAGATAGTTGAGTCTATGCACATGATATGACTATAAAAAGAAGCATTTACATACATACCACCCAAATCTTATATATTTACATATCTAACACCTAACTTTACATTTTACATTTATATCATAATCTTTCATATGTCATAAAAAATACCATCATTTTAACTTCTAAAAAGTGAAATATATCTTTTCAAGCATAGGCGAGGTGGTAGGTATGCATAAGAATTGCTGATAGGCAAGCGATTGGAGGAGCTCAACGGCTCTCTGCTGAAAACAGTGGTCAAACGATAAACTAGCAAGGTACGTACAGTGAGAGGGATCCACCACCTGTTCCGAGGCAAGCTACAACACACTTACGAGAAGAAAAGGCTGCAATGCTCTGGGAGGGACGAAACCCAAGAATAAACTCTCAAAATACAAAAACAAGCTAGCCCCAATTCCAAACCAGAATACAACATATATACAGGTCAATCAATAGAGAACAACCTCGTTAGAAACTAGAAAAATAGAAAAGGATAAGAAAGGAAGAAGCAAAGGAAGAAACTTCCATAAAATAAAGGAAAGTAATTAAAATAACATAACAAAAAGGGAGTCAATTCGGTTGTTCGGTCAACTGGACTCCCGCGACCGTGGGAGATGACACCGTCGTATCCCGGTATCGTGGGAAAGGTCCCGTGTCTCGCATCAATCTCCCCAAATAGGAGAGACTTCACCCTCGTCTCCTAGAACATCCAAACCCTTGTTGTACATTGGAAAATCAACGACGTTAAAAGTGGACGAAATATTATTATCTCCCAATAGGTCAACCATGTATGCATTGTTATTAATCTTCTTAACAATTCTGAATGGACAACTCTAGGCTTGAACTTTCTAAATGAACCTACAGGACATTGCTGCTTCTTTAGTTTGATCCGTACCACGTCACCTTTCTTGAAAATCATAGCTTTCCGACACTTATTGGCTTGTTTATGATTCTTGATGTTTTGCTTAGCAATTTCCTCCCTGATCTGCTCATGTAGGGTCTGAATGTCCTTGAATCGAATCTCAACATCAATGTTATTGATCTGGGGTTGATTTGATCATGATTTAAGTTAAAGTTGTCATGTTTATTTCAATTCAAGATCGATTCAATTTATTAAGATATGTCTTAGTCAAACCAACAGCAAGAACTATATAGATACATTATACAATATCCATTAGACATGCATTTATTCTTACATGAAAATAAGCATAAATATAAATTTTTATTTGATCTCTAGTTGGCCTGATTCGATCCAAGTTTACTCCATTTAAGTTAAATCCAAATTGATACTAGCTCATTAGTCAACTCATTGATTTTAGTTTAAGCTCGATTCGTTCCAAAACCTAATACAATTTCCCAGTAATCTTCAATCTTTTAGGGTTTGTTTAGTCGCAGCAAAAGGAGTGTACTGCATCTTTTGCGGGGGTTATAAAAATTGAAACATTTGATTGGAAGAAACGCAAATACACTATAAAACTCCAATGTACTTGGAATTCACTTTTTAGTTTATTTTTAATGTATTTGGAATTCACTGAATTTGGGTAAAGTGAGGCTGACGCCGCTGACTACTCACCGACCCACCTCAATAGATTTATTTTAAATTGAATTTATTTTTAGTTCAAATCAAACAAGAAGATACAAAATTTTGTATTTATTTTATAACGAACCAAACAACTATAAAATATTTCAAATACAATATATTCTTTTTACTCTGTATTTCCTTTTCAGCAAACCAAATAGCTCATAAGCCAAATTCGAGGCCCATTTTTCTTGGTGATAGATTTCTTGTAGAGACCTATTTATGTAAGTAACAACCATTTTTTGTCACTAATGTACAAACAACTCATTTTCAACTAATCTTTTGGAAATAAGAGAAAGGAAGCTTCCAATTAATTTACTTGGAAAACATTAAGTGAGAAGAAAAGGGAGGTACTAAAAATGTTTCAAATCGAACAAACTCTTCTATTGTAAAAACTATCACAACTTCTAAATAAATCAAAGGAAGATTTAGATACATACCACTCAGTTTTTATGTATTTACATATCTAACACCTAAAGTTTAATTTTGCATGCACACCACCTTACCTACGTATGAAAAGGTCTATTTCACTTTTTTTAGAAGTTAAAATGACTGTATTTTTGATGTGATATGGAAGATTTAGGTGGCATAAATGTAAAAAAGCAAAGTTTACGTGTTAGATATGTAGATACATAGAAATTTGGTGGTATGTATGTCAATGGCCCTAAATCAAATGGTCAAGAAGAAATAAACAATTTGATTCTAAGATCAGCACAAAAATAAATAAATAAATAAATAAAAGGAAGAATTACATACATACCACTCAATTCCTATGTATTTAAGACACTTAAACTTCACTTTTTACATATATGCCACCTTACCCATGCATACAAAGTTGCATTTCACTTTTTTAAAAGTTAAAATAGTGGTATTTTTTATCTGATATGAAGGATTTGGGTGCTATGAAGGTAAGAAGTAAAGTTTAGGTGTTAGATACGTAAACACATAAGAATTATGCGGTATGTATGTAAATGCTCCAAAATAAAAAAATGAACTCACCTGCATCCGGTGGCTTCAACAAATTTCCAAGGTACTTTCTAGCAGATGGTTTATGGTTACACCAGTTTCTAAAATCAACAAAGGACATAAAACTCCCAGCTTTTCCATCAACTTCCCGTGAAAATTCTGCAGAACTTACAAATGCTTTCATGGAAGTCTTTGATGAGCCCAAGGCTGTTTGAGTGTTCTTTGGATTGAAAACAGCATCACTGATTGAATCCAAAACAGCTTCAAGGTCACACCTAAAATTATCCTTTCATCATTAGGATTTCAATTACTTTTTATTTTTACCTCTAATCTTCACTTTGGCCTTTATTAAAAATCCCAGCTTAAACATGACAAAACACTGCAAAGTAATATAAATGGATAAAATTGAAAATAGTGGAGAGCTTCCAAGTGCAAAACAAAAACTAAAAGAACAAAGTAAATAAATACTTCATTTCAGCTTGATGTCATGATAAAAGGAAGATTTACATACATACCACTTATTTCCTATGTATTTACATATCTAATGCATAAACTTCAATTTTTACATATATGCTTCCTTACCTATGCCAAAAAAAACAAAAATGAATTCAATTTTTTAAAGTTAAAATAGTGGTATTTTTGATGTGATATGAAAGATTTCGACGGTGTAAATGTAAAAAAACAAAGTTTAGGTGTTAGATATATGGTGTAAATGTAAAAAACAAAGTTTAGGTGCTAGATATATAAATACATAGGAATTGGGCGGTATGTATGCAAATGCCCCGAGAAATAATCGTGATCTTTTTCTAGATTAAACTGCACAAAAAAGTTAAGGGATAGATGAAAATACCAGTAAAATTAATCCATCAAAATAATAAGCCTCTAAAACATAAAATTGGAAAATTTTCACTATTCGCTAGCAATTTGAGTAAAATAATAAGCATAAATACCACTTAATTCTTATGTATTTACATATCTAACATCTGAATTTCAAATTTTACAAATATGGCACTGTACCTATGCATAAAAAGGTGTACTTCACATCACATTTTAAAAGTTAAAATTATGGCATTTTTGATATGATATGAAAGATTTGGGTGGTGTAAATGTAAGAAAAAAAGGGTGTTGCATATGTAAATACAAGAATTAGGTGGTATGTATGTAATTGCAAATAGGAAGCAACTTCTGTAGAAGGCATACAGTAGAACTACCTTTCCAAGTGGCCATCGCCATTAACATCACATAACTCGTAAATGAACTCGTCAATCTCATCCGGAGTACCTTTCTCATACACAGCCTATCACACAGGAGAAATCCAAGTCATATCTATCAATAAAATATACTTAATTTTCTTTTTCAACTTGAGAAAAGCAGAAACTAACTTTGGAGATAACCAGATCCTCATAAATGATCATGCCATCGCTCCTCTTCTGATTCACCAATTCAAACAACCGATTGGCAAGAGGTCCACGGATGCCAAAATAAGCCTATAAATCTCGAAGAAAAAGGGAGATTAGAGGTTGCAACGGAAAAACAGAAAGGGAGAAAGGAGATGGGAATTAGGGCTCTCGCCTGAAAAACAGAGGGAGAGATGTACTTGGAATTGCTCTGGGATTGGGCGGCGAGGGATGTGAAGAGCGAATTAAGTTCTTCGAGCTCCTGATGAGTAAAAGCCCTAATTTACAGCAAAAATCTCCATAATTGTGAGGGAAGGAGATCGAGCAATGGAAAGAGAAGGAAGGGAGTGGAGTTACCTGCTCGCCGCCGCGAAGCGGGGATTGGAAGCAGGGGATTGGGAGTTTCCCATTCCCTCCCCCGGAGT